AATTTAAGCATTTTCTTTGTTAACAAAACTTTAAAATAAAAGCAAGTTTTAAAAAACAACATTAAAAGCCAGCTGAAAAACCCTTTAAAAATGAAATCACTTGTATCTGGAGTTGTTTAAACCACCTACTTGTATTTCTTGGGAATTTTCTTTAAAAACTTACCATATTGACATTGAGTTAAAATGATCGTTTGTTAAAAAAAATAAAGTACTAGAAAACTGCATTCTAAAATTGTCCAATTAATCAAATCCCCAAGGTTCATGAAAGTTTTCTAAAGGGAAACATAGTTTATTTTCTTCTTTCCTACTATAATACAACCATTAGCCTAATTCATTTGTACAAAACAAAGGTCACAACTGTTTTAGCCAGTCATTATAATGACTGGCTAAAACACTAAAGGATCATTAAATGAAACAACTGCTACAGATCTGGAAACAGATAGACCGAATCAACAAAAACCTAGAACAGACTGCACTGGTATAACTGAAATAAATAAGAATGCGGGAAAGATATAATTATTTTTTGTTTGTTCTACATGAAGCTTGGTTTTAATATTGCTAAGAGGTAAATATAGTTTTTAAAACAGTTTCTCTTGTTCGGTTTTATTGGTAGCAATTATTAGTCGCGTGTTTCAATTGGTCCTTGTTAAGTTATTTTAAATTGTTTTTTATAATAATACGTCAAAATGCTCCCTTGAGGTTTTTCCTGTAGAGCTGAAGTAATTTGTATGCAGCGGTGGGCTTGTGAACTGGCATAAATACCTGACTAACTGACGGTAAAAAGTTGTCTTATATACTTAACTGTTAAAAATGTAAGGAGTTGTTGCAAGGGATAACTCGGAGGGTTCCCACGCGCGTGCAGGAAAAAAAAACAGCGCTAAAAAGGAGTTTTTGGGGGTCTTTTAGAGCAGCCGACTTGCATGTTTGGAGCAATGTTTTAAAAAGTATTGGTGACAGTAAGGCCTTTTTTCCCTGCAAAGCGATTGCAAGAAAGATAGTGCTTTCAAAAACTGCCCGCTTTTATTTCGAACACATAATAGATTCTACACGGGCCAATCAGGGTTAAAAGAGACCGGGCAAGCCTAGGCAAGCCTATTGTGCCTATTGTAGTAGAGAGACGCTCATTAGTAAATCTATACCGAATAAGTATGTAGAAAGGCAGATACGAGACACTTACTAGACACTGACTAGGTATATAATTGATATGCAGGGAGGCACTTTTTACCTAGGTTATAACAGTGGGTGACGCCATATACTATCCCTAAACTATCCTTACCTATCCACCAACGGGGCTTAATTTTCAACATAGTAGACTTCTATGTTTGCTCATATAAGTTCGCAAGTCTCAGCTTCGTCGTATGAGCCCATGGTGACATGAAAACTTTTGAATTTTTTTGTTCCCCTGGTTGTAGAGGAGTGATTTCTTTGCGTGCATAATTATGCGGTCTTGCGGTGTGATAGCGGTGAATTGCGCTGTGTAATCCAGTGCTTTTGCGAGAAGATGTTCTGAGATGGACAGGTAAAACTCGCAAACATCAAATATTATGAAGGCGAGTTGGCTGTCATTCGGCAGGTTTTGGAACCACTCGATTGCTTGCGACGTACTTTTCCATAGATTAATCTAAGTGGCTACTATAACGTTCTTGTTAATATTGTCTAGGACTTTTTTTTGCTAATGATTCCGATTCCTGATTTTGAGGGGTTGATTGGTCTCCGGGATGAGTTGTTCATGAAGTCTGGTTTATGATCTTTTAATTTTATGAATGCTTCCTTTTGGCTGAAGTTTCAATGCGATCATAAAGTGAAAGGTCTTGGGCGTTTTTTTTGTTGGCCGAGGTGTTGTAAGTTACTTGTTGGTTCGTCTTTTTGTATGCTCTTGTTACCTTCTTGTTGACGAGGGTTAAGTAGTCTGGGTCTGTCTTGTAGTGACTAGTGGTTTTGTCGGCTTTTACCAAGCTGTTGCTGTCTCGACGAACCTCTTTCAGGTCGTTCTCTAGTTTCTTTTGTCGGTCGTTAGGTGGTTCTAAATTGAACTCGTTGAATCATGTCAAACATGTATGCACAGTCTTCAAATTCTGTTAGTTCATATATGTGCGAAGGTGGGTGCTTTGATTCAAATCCATATGTTTACTAACGGGCATCATCTCTGTCTTGTTTTTTTAGGAAAAAGTAAATACATCCTCCCCAAAGGGGCTTTTCAGGAACAAACTTTATTTACAAACATTACATTAAACTAATTACAGTATAACACTCAACTTAGTACTAATTACAATGCTAACTAATTACTAATTACAATACTTTTAAAACTTAACTAAGAAGCATTTACAAAATTATCTAAAAGCTGGTTTCGTAAGAGACGTTTGAAAATGTGAACCGACCGGGTTAATTTAAGAGAAGGTTCTAAATTGTTCAAAAGGTTAATAGTCCTGTAATAAAAAGTTCTCTGTGTGGAGGCTGTTCTGAAAAGAGAGATGTTAAGCTTTTGGCTACTCCGAGTTGT